ATCACTAATCCTTCCCTCCATTTTGATCTACTTTATTTCTCAAGCTTGCTATTTCATTTTTCATCTCTTGCAGCGTGTTCTTCATCTTCAGAAATTCTATTTGGTTCTTTTTGAGGGTTTCAGTCTCTTCACTAAACCCCGGGAGCGCGGGGACGCGGGGGTCTGCGTCGCGCGGGGCGGCCCCCGGGTCCCCCACTGCCTACCTGCGTGACCTTGGGCAGCACACTCAGCGCATCTTAGCCTGAGGCCTTTCATCCGTGAGGTGGAGAAAGTGGTCTACTCCCAGAGCGGTGCAGGACAAACTAAGAACAAACGAGTTCCTGCAGGCCGGGTCCCAGCACTCAAGCACCGTGCAGGGGGGACGCTTCGTGGTGACTGAGTTCCGAATGGAACCCCACTTTGCTATCGGCGAGTGTGTCGCCGGGAACTAGCCTTTAATGAATGCCCCCTAGGTGCCAAAGTCAGCCCTCCGCTAAGGGACGACGACGACACGCTATTCAGGCCGAGCCAAATTCTCAGCGTCGGAGATTTGACGAAGAACCCGCCGTGAAGTCCGTGAAGACTGACGATGCGCCTCGTTGGGGGCATCGGGCCGAGAGACGGCATTCGATAAAGAGTTACTGCTTTGATATACCATAATTTTATTGATCTCCACCTTCTAGTTACTTTCTGTAGCCTATTGAACTTATTTCCCACAAAATCTCTTCCTGGTTGGGGTTATTCTCTCTCATTTTAGAGAGTTTTTAAAAAAGCAGGACGCAGCCAACGCAGGAGCAAATGCACAGATGGGACTTTCCAATAAAGGGGTCGAGTTGTGTTGAGTCTCCACCCTTTTCCCCAGCGGCGGTGAGACCCTTTCTAGAACCTTCTCCATCCCAGCAGGGAGCTGGGGAGGGAGCTGGCGGGAGACGAGTTAGGCCGGCTGGTTGCCGCCTGGGGGCACCTCTGCTCACGACCAGGCACCCAGGTTTTCGGTGGTGGTGTTGCTCGTTTGTTTTAGCATCTGCCATTTTCCTACTTCTGGCTTCATAAATTTCCTTCTCTGTCTGGACATCAGGATCTGAGAATAGTGAGGAGAACCTGGCTTCTCCTCTCCCCCAAAATTCATCAAAATAAAAGAGCTCTGATAGTATTGATTTTTATTTTAATTTCCCAGGAGTGAACCTGTGTGCCCCTAAATTGATCAAGATTAATAAGGAGTTTTCAGGGATAATTATAAAACGGTGGCTGGTGATAGCCCAGCTGAAAGCCAAACCCTTTTGTACATTGTGGCAGCTGAAGGTTAAACGAATTTCAGGTTTGCTTCCAAGATATATAGCCTGTGCCTTGCTGGGTACCTCTAGAAAGGCACAGAACTTCATCTCGTTTTACTGTACAGTACTTGAGTGGCATATCAAGCCAACTATCATCAAATATGACTCCAGGGGAAAATGCATACATCTCCAGATAGCTTTCATAGTTGTTGTTTGTTTGTTTTAACTTTCTCTAATTTTCCACTTTGTTGAAGAAGAAGAAGAAGAAGAAAAAGAATGTGCTTGTTCCTAGGGGTGGAAGAGGTACCTGGAGGTTTCTGAAGACTGTGGGCAGGAGTTCTTTGCTTTTTAACTTTTTCAGGGCCATTTCTAATCATGCCGAATTAGCTGGCAAGCATAGTTTTTATCCTGTGCGATTCAGATAATGTCTGTTTGGTTATCCTTAATCCAGTGCAATTTCACTCCAGGCAGGGGTCTGGGGTGAAGGAAACAGGGCATCAGAGAGGTTGCTCTGGCAAGTGGGTCTGGGGTCAAGTTTCTAAGACTCTTGAACTGGGAGGGAGCCCCCAAACCTTGGTCATTTCAGTAATGACAAACAATGTCTCTTCTTTTTAAGGCTTGGGAAACTGTCGAACAAGCACGTGCTGCGTGCAAGGCCCTGAGCTGAGATTTCTTATTTACCTCTCCACTCGCGGGATAATGGTTCAGATACAGGGAGAAGAAGCCTCAGCCTGGAAAGAGTCATTCAAAGCCATGGGTCTTGGCTCAGCCGTCTGCAGAGAACTCAGGCCTTGTGAGATCTGAGTGGACTTGAGCCCGCTCTCCCCTTCCCCCGACTGAGACAGCCATTACTAAGATTTTACATGTAATTACCCAGGGTATAATTTGGAGTGAGGTGAAGATATCGATGTTTCTTTCTTTTTTTCTTTAAACAAGGTGCACTGAATAAAAATGTGCTTCTTCCCAAAAAAGGTCCACGGGCCTGGAGTGTGCTCACTCGAATCCTGTATTTCTAAGTTTTGCAAGAAGGAGGGAAGCACTAGATATTATCTTGCCTCCCTCCCCACCTTCTCCTCCCCCTCGAACACTGGCACCCGAACACACCCGAACACACACAACAAACATCGCTCAGACAGAGCACACCAACGCACGACACACGCAGCCGGGAGGAGAAGGTCGCAGCGATGCCGCCCAGATTGAAGATTCAGGGGAAAGAAAACACGCGGACTGCACGTTTCTAAGGGTGCGCTGGTTTCCTTTTCGACTTAGACATGGGGACCCCTGGTTTAAACTGCCCAGTCGGAACAACCTGGGAGAGAGCAGCCCCTGGCCACCTTCTCGGCTCCCTGCAGCCCCTCGTCTGATAGGGGAGTTAGAGTAATTGCGGACGCTGTTGAGGACTCACTGAGAGCCAAACGCTCGTCTGAGTGCCTGGCGTGTCTAAGTCCCCCCTAGCCGACAGGCTGGCCGGTTTTTCAGTGCTGACTCTAAAGTTACAAAGTTAGCCCGGCTTCGGCGCATAGTAGGCGCTTCATTCACGTCTTTGCAGTATCAGTTGCGGATTTTAAACGTGTTCTGGCGGTGTGTGTGTGTGTGTGTGTGAGAGAGAGAGAGAGAGAGAGAGAGAGAGAGAGAGAGAGAGAGAGAGAGAGAGAGAGACAGAGAGAGAGAGAGAGACACAGAGAGAGAGAGAGAGAGAGAGAGAGACACGCAGGGTACCTTTTAAAAAGAGGGGTCAAAAGAGAGAAGAAATGGGGCTGGGCGAACTTCCTCTTTAAATAATCGGCCTTAATTGCGCCTTGGACTTTTCAGTTTTGGCGTGATTATAACCCTTGAGGGATCGCCTAATAACAACTCTGCTGACTGCTCCTGTAATTAACTCCTAATTTATTTCAAACAGGACGAAAAAAAAAAAAAAGGCCCAGCCTCTTCTGGAAGAGCCAATCGGAGGCGAGCGTCCGTGGCGTCAGCGCCCAGGCCGGCGCGCATTGGCTGAGCCGCGTCTCCCACTTCCCCTTGGAGGCCAGGCTCGGCGCCCGGCGCGCCCCTCCCGTCTCCCCCCCAAAAAGTTTGAGTCGCCGCCGCCGGGTTTGCTAGCCGAGTCGCGCGCGGAGAGCTCCGTGGGGCAGAGAAGTCATGGCTTCTCCGTCCAAAGGCAGTGACTTGTTCTCGTCCGATGAGGAGGGCTCGGCGATGGGGGCCGGGCCGGGCCCGGGGCCGGGGGGCGCCGAGGGCGCGGCGGAGGAGCGCCGCGTCAAGGTCTCCAGCCTGCCCTTCAGCGTGGAGGCGCTCATGTCGGACAAGAAGCCGCCCAAGGAGGCGTCCCCGCTGCCGGGCGAGAGCGCCTCCGCCGGGGCCACCCTGCGGCCGCTGCTGCTGCCCGGACACGGGGCCCGGGAAGCGCGCAGCCCCGGGCCGCTGGTCAAGCCCTTCGAGACCGCCTCGGTCAAGTCGGAAAATTCAGAAGACGGAGCGGCGTGGATGCAGGAACCCGGCCGGTATTCGCCGCCGCCAAGTGAGTGCGCGCCCGGGAAGGGACGGGGCTAGAGGCGGGCGCGTGCGGTACGGGAGGGAGTCGGGGCCGGTATTCCGGGCCGGGGGTACGGAGATCCCTCAGCACTGTGCGCCCCAGAAAGCAAGCACAGCAGGTCTCGACCACCCCTTGTTATCCACAGACTTCAGCGCGCCGGCCGCATCCAAGACACCCTGTGGGGAACGCCGCGCGGCGCGTGACCCGGTCCCCTCGCTGTGCAGCGTCGCACACCGTTGCGGACTCGCTGGTCTTTGGAGGGCGAACCCCAGCTGGGTTTGCGGGGTCGCCTGGTTCCGTTTCTCTAGCTTTCAGCCCTGCGCTCCAGCCACGTCGCTTAGATCTGTTTCACTGTCCACTGGGGTCTCCTTTTCTGGGGAGCAAAGGGGGAACCACGTCTCCTGAGCACCTGAATATGTGCCAGGCACAGGCCGGGGGTCTCATCTCTTCAAAGTTCACAACCCGGCGAGGCGGCGTGCCCTCGTTTTAAAGATGAGCTAACCGATAGTGGGTGGAACTCTCTCTCTTCCACGGGTCCCACGGGTGTCGAAGCAGGATCCCGCGAAGGGATGGTGGGAGACTGAGACTGAGGCAGGGAGGAGCTGTCGCCTCTCAGCCAGCACCTCCCTGGCGAGGTCCCTGAGCTTCGCTGGGAGCGGGCTCGGCTTGGCTCATAGTCATAATTAACAGCATTAAGAACGCTGGAGAGTTTACAAAGTGATGCTCATTAGCTCCCCAGATCCCAGTCATCGCCGGAACCTCGAAGTGTAGGCAGAGGCTCGGCGACCTGTGGCCGTCCCCTTTTTCAGACACTCAAGCTTTAAGGGGACTGAACTTGCTTGACGCAGGTCACCAACAATGGCCGAAATGGGCGAGGGGCCCTGGTGTCCAAGGCCTGCTCCTGCATGTTGGTCTCTCTCCCCGGAGAGACCAAGCGAAGGTCGGCACACACGCACCCCGCTTCCTGCCAATAAGGCAGAAGGACACAGAGTCAGGCCCAGCTGCAGCATCCGTGTTTGGGCCCTGGATCCTTTTGCAGTTTGGAGAATTCATGGCCTCTAGCTTCTGTCTCCCGGCCTTTAAGCTTTCCTTACCCCCACTGCACCTCCAGGAAAGGTGAGAAGGGGGAGGGGGCACCTGGAGGGGCTTTTTCCAAAGGCGGCAGAACCACCTTCTTCTCCACGTCCATCAGGCAGCCCTCCAGACTGGAGATGCGCAGTAGTCTGAGAACAAAACGAGGCCATATACCCAGGCGTCACTGGCTGTCCCCTCCGGCATCTCTCCACCCTGTTAGAAACTCCGAAAGATTCAAAGGGTGTGGAGATTAAGGACCGAAAGAATTTAAACGCAAGTTTGCTCAGTGCTTTATAGCACTTCTTAACCATAGCCTCTTACCTGATCTGTGTGGCAGCAGCTGGCCTAGTCACACAGGAGGACATTTCAGCAGAGTTCGGAGGAGTCTACACGCACCGAGTGTGGGCTTGACAAAAAGAAACGGGAGAGCATTTGATGATCAGCTACTTGCTGGCGGACAGGGCTGTGGATGATCTAAACTTTCGTACTCCGAACCTCACTGCGGGATCAGTGTTACTTAATCTGTTTTATGTTGCAGAAAGAGAGGCTCAGAAACTTTAAGGGACTTAATTTGTTTGACAAACGCCAAGTGCCCCTGTGTTTCCAAGGCCTGGGTCAGTGCCCCAGGGGGCACCTCAAGGTTTCAGGCCTTACTGGGAATGGCGTCCAGAGGTCAGAAATCCCACTTCCCTAGGCCTCTGGGTTCTGGGGTGGCCATGCCCCCCTTGCTGGGGAAACATCCCCCCACCACGTAGTGCTGCATCCCGCTTCCGTGCCTACTAAGCCAGCCTGGGGCCCTGGATATGACCTTCCCACGAGATAAATCATGAGATTCCGAGAAAGGATTTAATTTTAAAACAAAAAGTGGGTGGTTGGCGTTGGGGGCCCAGAGGTGGCTCTGGGAGCCCTGTTAGGAGAGGTGGGGCCTGAGCTGCAGGCAAAGGAGCCTGGGGTGGGAGAGAGCCACCCGCCCGGGCCTGGTTTTGTTATTGGGAGGAAGTAGGATAAATGCTGTTTTGCTTTGTATAATCGCATCCTTCCTCCGGCTGGTTTAAAATGGGGGAGGGGGGAGGAGTGTTGCGCCCGGAGGAAGCCTCGTAACTCCACGGCTTTGATGCACGTGTGCGAACCCCGCGGCCTGGATGCCTGGATTCTGGAGCAGCCGGAATAACCGTGCCCGGACGCAGCGTTGCTTCCAAGCTTAGAGCAGGATCGAGCAGACACTGGGGGCTTCTCTGCGAGCTGAGGCCGCTGGGTCCGCCCGCGAGCCAGGCCAGGTTTGTGAAGGCTGAGGATTTCACAGGTCTCGGGTCTCAGACGGCAGTTGTTAGTTTATTTGTAAATCAAGGAGCTGGAGGCCTGCTCTCTGCTTTACTTAGGGATTAGCATATGCAAAAGTCCACTTCTGTGGTCACCTCTTACCCACCCCTCTCTCCGATTTCTGTCTTCTGATTGATTGCAGAACTCAACTACCTCTTTCTCTCTCCGTCACCTAAATGATGGTTGATAATGTCGCATCAGGACAAATCCTTTTCTCGTTGGAAATGGAGGCTGGGTTGGAACTTGTGCTGTGTCACCCTCAAGTATGAGGTGTAAACTCTTTCTTGGGCCACCGAAGTCACAAAACAAGAAATGCGACATTCTCCCCATGAGTCCTTTGGAGTCACTGCTGTGGCTACATTTAGAAAATTAGCATAGCTCATAAAAGCCAAATGCAGAAAATTAATTGTTTAGCATTCCGGCCCTCAGCTCCACGCTCCTCCCCCCTCTTCCCTTGAGGAAGAGAAGCCTGAAGTTCCTGGTCCTGTGGGACCACAAGGGTGCCCAATCCTGTGACTGTCTGTAATTGAATCCAGTTTAAATATGGAATCTGGATGCTGTCTGGCATACCTTTATTTTGCTTGTTATTCCCTCTTTCTAAAGCCCAGCGACAAACTAATCATTTTACACATTGGCTCTAAAGCGTAGAATGGGTAGAGATGACTAAGATGTCATCACATGCTCTCAATTCCGAGGCAGTGTGATTCCCCCCACCCCCATGACATCTAACATTTATGGGCCAGCTAATTTCCCCCTCCTCCTTAGTAAAGTTTATATTACAGAAGCACCAGGCCAAAAAACATATCCCACATCCAGATCTGTAAAATGATGTTCAGCTTTTATAATCTGTAGGCTGGATGGAGTGACAGCTGTTGGTTGTTTATGGCACGGGACTGCTTCCCCGATCCCAAGATGCTGATAATCGACCACAGACTTTATCTGCACGATTATCCTGCCTAACATTGTCGATGCAGTCCAACTTGTCCTGGTGCAGAGAGGGGACCGACCCAGTTTGGAAGTGAGGGTTATTATGAATCCTTCCCCCCACCCCCCATTCGGAAGACGAGAGAAATTATGCTCAGAAGAGATGGAGTTTTGTTCTCAGAGACCACGCAGCTTCCTCGACTTCCGACGTGGGGGTCTGCTCAGAGATGTTCTGTTTCCATTACTCAAACGCTGTTTGTTTCCCATTTGGAAAGTTCTCTTACACCATTCAGTTCCTCAACTTTTTGACGAAAGCCTCCCCTTTTAAAATAAAGGAATTTATCTATTGAAATGTGGTCCTTCTTCACGCTTCCCCCCAACCCACGGCTGGTTTTGACAGACGTATCTTTTCAAAAGACGAAGGAGGGAGGCCCTTACACACAGACCTGGACAGAAAGCCCCTCGCCTTTGCTAACCCGCCCCTGTCTCTGTTCCCTAGGACACATGAGCCCCACCGCCTGCACCCTGCGGAAGCACAAGACCAACCGGAAGCCACGCACCCCCTTCACCACGTCCCAGCTCCTGGCCCTGGAGCGCAAGTTCCGCCAGAAACAGTACCTCTCCATCGCTGAGCGCGCCGAGTTCTCCAGCTCCCTGAACCTCACAGAGACCCAGGTCAAAATCTGGTTCCAGAACCGCAGGGCCAAGGCGAAAAGGCTGCAGGAGGCCGAACTGGAAAAACTGAAAATGGCTGCGAAACCCATGCTGCCCTCGGGCTTCAGCCTCCCCTTCCCCATCAACGCGCCCCTGCAAGCAGCATCCATATACGGGGCATCGTACCCCTTCCATAGACCTGTGCTCCCCATCCCGCCCGTCGGACTCTACGCGACGCCGGTCGGATACGGCATGTACCATCTATCCTAAGGAAGACTGCGCCACAGACTCCACGACGGACGTGTGTTTGAGCAGGCCCCCCTCCCTCTCGAGGAAGGCCGCACCCAGCCAGCACCCCTGCTTTGCAAACCCCGCCTGCACCCCCCTGAGCAGCTAGGCCCACAGGGCCGCAGACTCGGTTTGGATTCATTCTTTAGACGGGCGACACCAGGCCCCCGTGTACCTGGTGTCACCCTCCAGATGGCCCCTTGTCCTTGCATAAAGATTGGCTCTGACCGTTTTTATATATGAAGATGTATAATAAAATATAATACATTTTTATACAGCAGACGGAAACATTCAAATTATTTTGAAAGGCAAAATTTATATACATATATATATATATATATATCACCTTCCTAAAAGAGACGGTTTAAGTCCATTCTTTTCTTCTTGTAGGGGGAGACAAATTATTTACTAAAATTGCTGAAATTTGGTGATTTCGATGGGACAATTGACTTGCGCTTGGGGAAAACAAATAGAATTAGACACGATGGGTAGAGACAGTAGATACGGAGAGACTTTTGCAAGTGACAGGGGACACGTCATGTTTTTGCAGTGACACGCATTCGAAACTCATCCGATGCTACCCCATTCGGCCCTATTTTCCACCCTCTCCACGTTGTCACATGGTTACACATCGGTGAAGTTTTATCTTTTTCTTTTTTTTTTTTTTGGTAAAATCAGTAAAAGGGGGACGGGAAGACCCCTGAGCGGGCCTGGGGTCAGGGCAGATGGAAGGACTCCCTCATTCGCAAGGCGGTCACTTAACTCCAGATACTTGGAGAGTGAAAAGTTAAAGCATGTCTGGAGGAATTGATGGTTTCTGTGAAATACTAGGTCGGTCCTCACACATTGCAAAGGTGATCGGGGGAGGGGAGGGTGTAGTTCATTTTCTGCTTTAAAAAAAAAAAAAAAAAAGCCTTGTAACTATTACGTATATGCTAAATATTCTTCAACGACGAATAGACCCAGAATGAAAAATCCTGTTTTCTCTGTGTGTGTACCTATTGTATGTGCTAAACGTATTAGAAAAATTTATATACCTTTTAACATGTTGGGGGCAAAGGGTTAAAGCCATGTTTTGACTTGCTGATAATGGTGGTGTCACACAGGCCATTTAGCTCCTTAGTATTTCATCTTCCTAGCCAACTCTCCCCTCCCCCACCCCCCCAACCAGTATACTTTATCCCTTTGAAAGGGTACCTTGTATAATTTTATATATTTTATTGAAGAGTTATTTCTTATCTCTGATTCCGAATTAAATTAAATGTTTGTTTTATTGCAGTCAAGTCTGTCCCAACTCACAATTATTTTAAAAGTCACTCACTCTCTGTTCTTAGTTGGGCTTAACTCAAAAAACACCACCCAGATGGGAGGGTGGGGGGGAGCTGGTGATTTTTATTATTATTTTAATGTGAATCAATCAAGAGTCGTGGCCAGATTCAGCCTTGGGGTGGGGGTGGGGGGTTGGAGCGTCCATTGAAAACAGCAAAATAACTTTGAACTGTTTCCCTCCAGCAGCTTGGGTTACTTGTGGAAAAGAGTTAGGACTGCTATTAGGAGTTGTTCAAACTCCAGTGAAAGATGAGCTTAGAAGAAGTGGGGGGGCTGAGGGATCAGCCAGAATCGGAGTGGTTTGTAGATGATCAAGGGAAAGTCTTGAACTTGAAATTTCCCATCTACCAAAACAACAACACACTTAAAGCCCAGGGAGGGGGGTGAAACCTATAGCTCTTTGCAAACGGGGATGGTCACTAGAGGCATTCACTGGGCTGGGGGAGGGGGGTGATGCCTGCTGCCCTTTCGGGAGTGTGTCAAATCGCACTGCCTTTGCTATTCGCAGCTTCTTCCCAGGAGATGGACCCTGAACAAATATTCTTTTCGGTGTGAAGGCGGACGGTGGTGCATTCAAGAGCCTTTTGCCTTCCAGCCTCTTTCCACTGGCTACAGATCCGGGGGCAGGCCTGGGCTTTGAGGTGTCACTATTAAAATAAATTGGTAATTAGTGGGAGGAGGCCGAGAAGGACCTTAAATTCTGCTTTCAGAATTTAAGAAATGGCTTAAAAGAAATCAGAAGTACAAAGAAATCAGAAGTGGCTACTGATGCCCCCGTTCCGAGGTCTGATGAGCAGCCCCTGTGACTCTCGGAAGTGACTCGAGGACTTGCAGCGAAGACCGCGGGGTGGGGAGTTCGGCACCTGGAATCTACTAGAACTGGCGTCTTTTGCCCCACATGTGCTTAGTTCTGACAGCCAGTGTGGACGTGGGCGTCCGGAGCTCCATTTTCCAGCCGGGCGCGGGCTCCCAGGGGCCAGGCCTCGAGTCTCAGAGCTGTCACGGCCCCAGTCTGAGGATCACGCTCCGCGCTGGGGCCGATTGATTTCCTCCCGCTCGGCGGGTCCACTGCGCCCACCGAGCGCCCCAGATCTCCCCAAGTGTGTGCGCCTTTTCCGTCCGGCTGGGCCTCCCAAGCCCCGGCCCCTAAACCCAGCCCGCAGGCCAGGCTTCCTCACGTACGGGCGCGTTTGCTCAAGGCCAGAGCCCTTCCCGGTGCTGCCATCAGCCGCCAAGTCGGGTCCCCAATTAGCCCGTCCACCGAGCTTCCTGCCCGGCGCCGCTGGGCCCCCGCAGCCTCGGGCGGCATGAGCCCGGGTCGGGGATCGGGAGACGCCGGCTCCGGGTTAAGACTCGGCGTGGCCCCTGGAGGACTGGGGCGCCAAGCGGGGAAACGCGGCTGCGCCCCGCGTGGCCGGTGAGGT